TGGAGAGAGGAAAATACATTAAACACTTCTACAGCATGAAAAAAAACAGGTTGGTTAATGGTTATTGATGGATAGCAAATGCTTTGTGATTTATGACGAAACAAGTCAGCAGAGCATAGAGTCTTAGAAAACACATGGGACAGGTTGAGTAAGCTCGGAGCCTGTACTGGTTGGCAAACTGGTAAAGTACAGATAATCCTAACCAGATATCCTTAATTGTTATCCTTATGTATGTCTTCCACTGCTCAGGACCATGTTGCGGGTGTCATCTGGTGGTGATTAGAAGCACACTGGCATTGTTACCAGAAGTGCTACATTTCTCTTGGGAAAAGGTGGTTTTCTCAGTGCTGTGCAATATGTACCAGTATGTAGTAGCATCATTATTTCTTATAATGTGAATAATGCTGCCCAGTCAGCACTACCCACTACTTGCATACTGCTACCCAGTCATGTGCTGACCAGATGACTGTCATGTCACTGCTCTAGTTTGGGCATTGTGCAAAAAAACCAGTTGTTCAGGACACTTGTTTTGTCATAAAATTTTATTATAACAGTAGAAAACCCCTTCAGATTGAACAAAAGCCCAGGACATAACAGAAGGCTTTAAGTCCACTGCGTAGGCTCTATCAAAGAACCTCTGTGGCCATTTGTAATGTGTATTTTACATCTTAAATCTGTAGCATGATTATAGCTTGTGTGAATAATGCTTCTCTACTCTGGACACTTGCCCTACTGGACATTCAAGAGACACATTAAAACAAGGCCTTGTACTCTCTCACCTGGATACCTGGGGTTCACCCCATGGGAACCTTTGCCTCTATGCAAGAAGAAGCTGTGCAGAGCTGGTATTTCTCTGCTGGAAGAACAACATCACATCACCATCCATTCGGTTTTCCTCTTGGGCTTCATCTTACAGTGTTAGCTGCATCCGACATTGAAAGCTTTGCTTATCTGCTGAGCTCAGCATGAATGCGGTTTACAGGTGTCAGACCTTGGCAGATGGGAGCCCTTGGGTTAAGAAATGGCACGAGCAGTGAGCTGGGGGCCTTCAGCTCTGCCAAGCGAAGTGAGTTCTCAGGTCTGGAGTTGCACCAGTGGCCATTTGAGTTGCGGTGGAAAAACTCCCATCTCTGCCTGGGTTGCACTTTCCACTGGGGAGCCCGGAGGGGCCTTCCTCCGTTGGTGCCTCCAGCTGTAGATGACTAAGTGAAGCTGTGTGGGCTGCTCGCTGTCCGGCCAGACTGTCCCTGCTATCTCTTCCCATAAACACTGGAGCCTTTGTCTCTGGCCTTATCCTGCCCCTGCCATCACAGAGCCCTTTCTGTGCTCTCCTCCCAGCACAGCGCCTCTGTGTTCAGGGGTCTTTTCTTCAGCTGCTCTTTGTCTCTGGGTGTTTATTGTGCCTGCTGCAGAGTGTGTGTGTTTGGGAGAGAGGAGGAGGGGCTCCTGTTTGTGTGGGGTTTGTAAACCTAGTGCATTCTTCAAAAGAGATGCTGAGCAAACTGGGTGGTGTTAATATTAACCCTTCACTGCCCTGCATTACTGACAGTGCATCACTGCACTGAGATTTCCTCAGTGTGAAAAATGCTGCGAGAGGGTTATGAAGTTGCTTGCTGTGTAAGGCATGGAGTCTTCTCCCTGCCTTGGTCTTAACTGCCCTTTGATTTTCTGTGAATGCTGCACATGTGTATCAGCAAAGAGAGCCTCCCAAACGTGGGGAGATGTAATTGATCTAGGATTTTCCCCTGGAGTCTTTCTGGAACTTGTTTTTATTGCAAACACTGGCTCACTAGCCCTTTCTGTTTGCATAACTGTCCCTTGCATCCTGTTTATGTGGCTACATGGGACAATATCTCTTCCTTGTACTGTATCCCAAAACTTTACGGCTCTGTACTTTAGGGCTTTTCTTTTGAGTAGGGTCCTGAAAACAGGAATTACTTAAATTCATAGTGTTGCCACTTGTAGTGACATATAATAACCTCCCTTTTAAACCAGCTTATTTTCTTTAACCAGCTTGTTAGTACTTTTATGGTTAGGATGGCTCTTATTGTTTCTTCAGTAACCATGGTCCCATATTCCAAGAGAGAGCTTCGGAAGATGAAGATCAGCAGCTTGGAAACCTTATTTCCTTTGTAATCACAGAATGCTTTGCTTTACGTTGATTGGGGGGGGAAGGGGAACAAATCAGCAACCAAACAGAACAGCATCAACTTTCTAACCTCCTTTTGTTCTTCCTTAGTAAGATGATGGGAATTTATAATGTGAAAAATCTTTTGTCCATCTCTGCAAGAAGCTGCAGGAACACAATTGTCTTAGTGTTAGAAGTGCCAGAAGAGTTTTTTATTTCACTGAATCTGCAGTCAGCATATTTCAGACTTTTTTTATGATGATATGCATAAATGGAGCATAATGCAAATGTTAGTTTTGTGTGATAAAATACTCATGTGTGATAATACTTTTTTTTTTCAAAGATGGTATCTTTTCTTAAGTTACTGAACTTTTCCCCAGAAATTAATAGGTTTAAATTCAGCATTTCATAAAATAATCTAAACAATTTTTATTTTCATATAATTAATATCCTGCTATTGGGGGTTGCAGTTCATGTGTTGGAGGATCTACATATTAAATTATTACACTGGGAAAAAGTTCAGCAGACTGTGTTCTTTGGCGGGGGGTGAGAGAGGAAGAAATGCAAAATAATACAAGCCTTTGAAACATGAATCCACACACTCAGTCATGACTAAACCTATTCAAACACTCAGGTGTTTTTTTTTCTGAGACTGCTCTAGGCTCTAGCATTGTTGTGGTGTGACTTGTTTTCTTTATGAACTAACTCAATTTGCCTCATCCCTTTCTCTTCAAGGAACAGTTTCTGCTGCAAAGCGCACAGGCATTCCAGCGCCCCGGGAAATATCATCATCTGTATCCAGAGAGCGAGCCGTATTGCGTGGTCAAGCCAATGCTAGGAAAACACAACCCAGCCCCACCTCTTCTGGTACACCAACTCCTACCAAACACGTGCGCCCCACGAGCAAGTCCAAGCAAGAGAATGAAGCTGGTGACAAGGCTGTTCTGGAATCCCAGGTTAAAGAACTCCTGGCAGAAGCAAAGACAAAAGATTCTGAAATTACCAAACTCCGTTGTGAATTGAAGAAATGCAAGGAGAAAGGGTCGCTAAACGCTGAAGGAATGGGTGCTTCCAACCAAAATTTAGAAACAGTATCAGCTGTTGACATAGATCCGTTAATACGGACCCTTCAGGAAAAAAACAGGACTTTTCAAAAAGAGCTTGCTAACCTGGGAGAAGAAAATCGTGCTTTGAAAGAGAAATTGCTTTATCTAGAGAACTCTCCTCTCTCGGACACAACGACAAGCAGTGGAGGTGACAGCAGCCTCCCAACCCCAACTACCCAAGAATCCAGTTTTGGAAGCCCATCAAAAAACATGTCGAGAGGTGAAATGGATGAGCACAGGCAGCATGTGAATGGGGGTGCACTACGCAATTCAGGTTCTTCCAGCAGTGATGTAACTAAAGCTTCCTTGTCACCCGATGCATCTGATTTTGAACATATAGCAGATGTACCTTCCAGGCCAACATCCTCCAACAGCAACCACTTCAAAGGTTCTAAATGCTCCACTACAGGAAGTTCTCCAAACAATATTAGTGACCTTTCTGTTGCATCTCTTACAGAGAGAATACAAAAAATGGAGGAGAATCACCACAGCACAGCAGAAGAATTACAAGCCACTTTGCAGGAGCTGTCAGATCAACAGCAAATGGTGCAGGAGCTGACAACAGAAAATGAGAAGCTAGTGGAAGAGAAAGCTCTTCTGGAGACTTCCTTTCGTCAACATAGAGAGCGAGCAGAACAACTGAGCGAAGAAAATGAGAAGCTAATGACTCTCCTCCAAGAGCGATCCAAGAATGAAGAAAGCAGAGCTCAGGAGGGGAAGATCCTTGAACTGGAACAGAAGTGTGCAGAAGTTCTTGAAAAAGCACAATTTGAAAGAGAGAAATTGCTCAACATTCAGCAGCAGTTAACCAGCAGCCTACGAAGCTTAGAAAGGGAGCATCAAGATGCCCAGCAGGTGATTAAAAGCCTCAGAGAAGAAAATGAAAAGCTCCTTAAACTTCTAGAAGTGGAACAGCAGAGCAGCAGTACGGTGACAAAAGCTCTGGAGGACTGTAAAATTGCCTTAGAAGGTCTAAAAATTGAGAATGGCTCTCTCAAAACTCAGTTAGAGAGTGAGAAACAAAAGGCTGCAGAAATCAATGTGATGGGATGTACTACTGACAACTCTGAGGTGCAAGAGATGCTGAAAGTAGCCCATGCAGAAAAGGATCAGTTGGAAGCATCTTGCACTGAGCTTAAACAAGAGCTGCTCAAGGCAAACAGTGAACTGAAGCACATTCAGGGTCTGCTATCTAAGGTAAAGCAGTAACAGCTGTTACACATACTGGTTGTTTATCTGTCCTTCCATAAATAGGTAATTGTTGGTCTTTAGATCGCTGTTGAGCCATTGATTGTAAGTTTCCAGGATTTAAATTGCGTGAATTAGTTTTGAATGGAAGCTGGAGTTGTATGATATTATCTCTGTTTCTGCTGCTATGTGTGTATTTTCTCAGAAATAACTGGTAGCATAGCTGTGTTTACAAATTCAATACTAATTTCCCTTAATATCTTCTGCAGAATTTACTATTTTAGTAAATAGAATTGTGTTTATCAAATTTGGAGCAAAGAACAGGTCAGTAAAAAATTACTTTGATATTATGTGAACAAATTGGTGAAAATCACTTGGTAATCCAGATGGAGAGAAAGGTATGAGTAGTTATCAGTGAATATTAAATTCTGAATAACTAATCATGCTTAATTAGTAGTGTACTATAGGTGTCATTGGTCATGGGGACACAAGAACGTGAGCTAGTGCTCAGTGAAGCTGATATTTACAGCAACATGACTAATGATGCACAGTCAAACTACAGATGAGATTATTTTCATAAAACTAAAATATCTTTACAAAACTGAGAAGTATTCTCTTTTGGGATAGGTAATGGCAAAAAAAATGGATTTATTTCAGAACAGTTTTTCTCTGCCTCATTTGATAGTTTGTAGCTTTGCTCAGCTTAAGTCAGTTACTGTTTCTATTTTCTGTGTGATCCCAGATGTTCAGAAGAGAGCTGCAATGAGAGACGTCATAGAAAAAGTATCAATAAAGCACAAACCAGTGATTATGTCCTACCGCTGCAGAACAAGTGATAGTCTGTGCAGCCTTTCCTGTATGGGCAGGGGATCATGAGAAGAATAGTAAAGTTGGCTAGTTGCTGAGGAAGAGAGCATTGCCAAAAAGCACCTGCATGATTTGAGTGATTTAGGAAATCCAGATGTCCTTTCAGATTAAATAGGTGACCACAGCAAATGGAGTTAGTAGAGGAAGCTCCCAAGTGCTTACTGGAGCTGCAGTTTATGAAGAATAAATGAAAAACTGCTGAGTGCTCAAACTTTGTACCGAACTTTTATTGCTTGGTTTGGAAACCACAGATTTCCTCCTTTTTACTCTTCCTTTCCCTTGAATTACTGGCTATTTGTGACACCCAAACAAGACCACAGGCTTCTGTAAGGCTGCCCTTCAGTCAGGCTGTGCCAGTGCTGCTCACTGAATTGGCAGCCTATGCTGTGCTTTTCCATAACTTGTTCATGCTCGGAGATCTCCCCCCAAACCTGGAAGCATTGATCTGTGGGCCTGAGCCAACAAACTGAAGTGCAGCAGATTCCCCCTTCAGTAATTCCAGATGTCCTGTGTCCAGAAATATACTGATCTGCAGTAGCTAGCTCTACTATGTATGTTTTCACAATGCATTGAAAACGCACGTGGCAAAAGCAGCAAAATTGTTAATGTGGACAAACTGATTGTTGTCTTGGCCCTAAGGTAGTGATATCACTCTCATAATGTGATACATAAATAGATGTGGAGCTTTCCAGGAATATAATTCCTCTCTGTTCATTACCTGCAGACATTGGTTTGGAATTATGGTCATCATATAGAGAACTTAACTTCCTTTGTGCATCTTGTTTTACTGTCTTTATTACAGGGAAAGAAAACTGACATTCATAGCTCATCTGTGTTTCCTGAAACTATCTCATTTGCGTACTGAAACTCAGTTTACACAATGCTTAGAACACAGGTTCAATTGTTAAGTCTATGAGATGTCCAGTAAAATCTCTAAGGAGTGATATCTCTTAAGAAATAAAGGCAAACTTGCAGCTTGCTTTCTTCCCTTCCAGGCTGAGAATGAATGTGGTCAGCTGAAGGAGGTGTGTGACCGACAGGCTGAGCAACTGAGCAGAACCAGCCAGAAGCTGCAAGAGAAAACATCAGAGAATGAAGCAGATATAAAAAACCTGAAAGAGACCATTTTTGAGTTGGAGGACCAGGTGGAACAACATCGTGCTATAAAACTTCACAATAACCAGCTCATCAGTGACCTAGAAAGTAGGTGGAGCTGAAAAAAGGATTTATGCGAACTTATTCGGGGGGCTTAGTTATGGCTGCAGCAGGGAGGAGGAGGTATGTCTTGATATGTGTGACAAGGGCCTCACTGTACAATTTTTCCAATTTTGGCCAGTCCATTCCTTTCGTGCACAAAAGTCACTATTTTAACAGTTAGTGCTGTAGAAATAATATTAGAGGCAGTCTCCAGGCCTCATTCTTCAGCGAAGGATGTATTGCCCATTCTAGAAACTGGAATTACTGGCCTTTTGAAGGGCTTTTAGGGAAAAAGCACTAGGAAGAGTGGTAAAGTCGAGGTTGCTGTCGCGTTGTGGAAGGGGAGCCGCCACCTGGTGGAATGGGAGCACATTTCGCTTGCCAGTGTTAACCTCCAGTGCTCCAGGGCTGTGTGTAGTGAAGGGGTGATGCTGCACATGTAGTTTTGTAAATTTAAAAGTCTGGTTTAATGCCTCAAAATAGTTGCCTATTTCCGAGATGTTTGCATTATAAATCTACTGTTGATTCCAATTCTGATGCATTGACAGAGTATCATAGTTTCAGTTTAGCCTATTTAGTGGCATTACTAGAAGCAAAACCAAATAGGCTGCTCTGCCCTCCCATTTTCGCTTTTCACCCTTGCCCTTATGTGTTTAATAATATTCTCCCTTTTTTTACTGTTCCTAGGTAAAGCAATGAAGCTGGAAGAACAAAAACAAGATACTGAGAGGCAGCTGAAGGCTCTGACTAAGCAAATGAAGGTAAGGCTTAGACTCCCTGACGAAGCTAAGCTGAGCTTTTATTGCAGTACTGGATTTGAGAGAAGCATTGTATTTTTCTAGAACAATTGTAGAAAGTTCTTTCTACATCTTTTCATTCTCCGTTCTCTTCATTCATTTCTAGCTGTTTCTTTGCCTATGGAGAAAAAGTATAATACATCATTAGCAAGTTACTTTGCCGCTTTCTGCCTATGAACTTCGACTTTGGAACAGCCGTTGCTGCTTTGTGAATCATCAGTAGCAATGAGCTCTTTTCAGCAACAGTACTTGTAGTAGTATTGCAAGTCTGAACGATCAATAGCTATAGGAGGAACTTTGTACTTCTGTGTTGGAGTGGGGAGCTTAGCACCAGTTTCCTCTTTGGCAGTCTCATTGGTACTGTGTAAAGAGGCAAGTATTTCGTTTGAGGTCGGCGTCATCTTGAGATTGTGGTGAAATCCTGGTTGCTTGTGGTCACTGAAGCAGAGATCAATAACTAAGTGCTCAGCTCAGGTGCATTTTTACAGCAAACAGTTTGGGGTTCTAATTGCTCTTTCTAGGAAGATACAGAAGAGTGGAGACGTTTTCAAGCTGATCTGCAAACTGCAGTGGTTGTAGCTAATGATATTAAGTGTGAAGCCCAGCAGGAGCTCCGTGTGGTAAAGAGGAAGCTTCAGGAGGAAGAGGAGAAGAGCGCCAGACTGCAGAAGGAGCTGGATGAGGTGAAGGGCAGCAACAGGTTCGTTACTTACAAAGGTCAAGATTTGATCTCTGACTGCTAACATGCATGCAAACAGTGCTTTGTCAATAACTATTCATTGGCTTGGATGTGCATGTTTGTCTGTTTTTAACTCTTCTGGCAGATTTTGTTGTCTCTTATTCTAAGATGTTTCTGTTCTTTTTCTTTTTGGTGATCTAGTTCCGTCAACTAGGCCATGAAGGTTTTAATCAGCAAATATTAAGTAATAACAATTGCCAATGTCCTCTTATAGTTTTGTTCTCAATATAGTATTCCACTGTGGTTTATTGCCTTCATAACTCTATGGGCAGCTGTATTAAACCATCTTTGAAAAGATTGATTGGCTACATATATTCAATTGGACATCCAGAAGAGAACTACTTAACCTGAGAGGAGTCAAGGACTGTATATGTTCAATTTAAAATGAAGACTAGCTGGACTGCTTTGTTCTGCAAGTCTGATATGTGTTGACTGAGTGATCAATGCAAGTTCTAGGATTCCTCATCTCACATGTCCTGTCCTTAATTTGAAACCTGTTATGTGATTAGCTGTGTTAAATGGTCTGGACTGTGGCCAGCAATGTGGTTAGCATTTAGCCCAGAATCACCTTCGTCATGCAGTGGACCCACCTGTAAATTGCTGTAGTCATCAGTGGTTGGAGGGGAACCAGTAGTTGTGAACTGGTAAAGAAAGAGATATACCCTAGCATGGTAAGCTGTATATGTGGGGCTTCCCTCTGTGGGGGCATGGTAAGAACAAAAGTGACTTTTACGGTTGAATCTGGAACCAGTACAGATGCCTTACAATGTGGCTTTTATGCAGTGCATGACCTTTTATATACCACCTTTCATTCCAAAAATCATACTACAATCGAAGTACTAAATAAGGAGAGATAGAAAACAAAAGATGTATTAGAAGGAAGAACCAAAATTTCTAAAGATGGTGCTCTACTCTTATTTTTTTGCCTTGATGCAAGCAGAGCCAGCAGAGCTGCAGTGATGAGAACTTGTACATGGGGAACAAAGAAAGACAAAAATAACACAGTCATACTGTTAATTAAAAATGTGTGCCAAATTAATTTTGCTCCTTTAGATTTTTCCATTTAATCTCTCTTACTAGATTCATGGCCACTGGCAGAATAGCCACAGGAACACAGTGAATCCTGTCATTTCTTTCAGGTGGAATAACAGTCCAGCTTTGCACATATTTGCTCACTGTTTTCCGTTCAGGAGTTTCCACAGCAGCTGTACAGTAGATGGGAGTAAAAAGATGGGAAGGCTTTTGTGCGGAGGTGTATGGATCAGAATTCCTGGGTTGAAGGAACAGAAATACTAATTTTCAGAAAAATAAAGAAGGAATGTATTTAAGCTCCAGTTTCATTATCGGAGTCCCCAGTGGATGCAAAGAAAAGCTATTACAGACTATGTATTCAGACTAAATGACTACCAGACAGTAGTTAAGTTCTGGGCTCTGTTTCCATTCCTAATTTGTTCTTAATTAAATTTCTCTTGTTTAGAGCGGGGTCTATATATAAGGGTGGGAATCATATACTTGTAGTTTCCCCTCTTTATTCTTTTGTTGTTTAGGCTGAAGATGTATTTGATAATACTTAAACTGAATAGGAGATGACCTGCTAATTTGCAAACTGGGATATTTATCTTCCATGTGTAAGGAACATGGCTGCATTGTCAGCTCTTTGGCATAAGAAGCCTGAGCTGCAAATACTGCTTTTGAAATTAGATCCCCAGAATCCATACATAGATAGTTCCAGAAGGAGGTATTCAGACATGTATTTAATTAAGTCAGTTTTGGCATTTGTGTCTCCCTCTTTTTCACGTACATATATGTCTGTCTTTGCATCATGTTGACTATGCATATCTTGCTTTGAGTATTACCTTGGTCATAGAGCCAGATATACTGTCTGCAGTGGGCAACAGTTATTCTTTTTCAAAGACAGGTGTTGAGACCAAGTTTTGCATCTGTCAATTTAGGTATAACTAATTTGACTCACAGTGCCCATGCAGAGAGTGGAAAACTTCTGTACTGAGTGGTATGGAGAACGTAATGAAGCCTATGTAAGTCATTGTCTAAACAAACCAGTGATCAACAGCTAAACACCGACACTTTAAAACTGTACTGACCTATAAAACAAATTCTCAAAGTTGCCAAATCTCCTGCTGAGAGCCAGTTCTGCACTCCTAGTTATCTTTACATTCCTGAGGTCACTGTCTTCCCCAGCACCTCGGCTTCTTTCACAGAGAAAGTTCGGGGGATATTCTCATCATTGCTTTTAGTCAGCTTTCACAAATGCTACTCCTCAGAATCAGCAGTAGATTCTGGTACCTGCGGTGACTTTTAATGCATGCTCAGCACTGGTAGAAACAGTTTGTAGCATGATGCCTTAAAGCAGTCTACAAAGTATTCCTCGTATTTGCTAATGCTGAGCAGCTGTGTGCTCAGCTGAATATCTGACAGTCCCTAGTGAAAGTTTCCTGACTGATTTTTAAGCTCCAATTGGAAAATGTGTCTTCCAAATAGCTTGCTACTCAAAAGTTTTTGGCAAAATCTGAGCCATCTCAAGAGTCATTAGACTCCACCTCATAAATTGATCTTGAAGCCATTTTATCTCCTACGACATCCTGCCATTTTAATGTTTGCCTGTGGCTGCCTGAGTTCCTGCCTCCAAGTTTGATTTCACCGTTACATTCTTCTAATCAGACAAAAAGTCATTTTTGGTTCAGGAACAGCCAAAGAACTTGCAGAAAAAATCCTGATGAGGTCATCAGAGTTCATCTGAATGAAGGTAAGAGCCTCCCAAAGGTATCTTTAACACAGATTAAATGTCTAATTCTATGATTAAGAATGTTGGGGGGAGGTTGGACCAGCATCAAACACATGGAATAAGGAAGAGAGGAGTTAACTTGTCCCAAGTTAGTACTGACTGAAACCTACAAATTGATTAACTTGTGTTTCAGGCAGTCTTCTATGGTATTTTACGTCCTAGTTAATGTTACTTCCCTGCAGTAAAAGGCAAGAACTTACAATCCAATGTTGTGTAACTGTCTCCTCACAGGTAGTAGAAATTGAAATTATATAGCTTCCATCCTTGGAGGCTTTCGAGACCAGACAGGACAAGACCCTAGGTAACCTGGCCTGACCTCAAAACTGACACTACTTTGAGGAGGAAGTTAGACTAGGTGACTTCCTGAGGTCCCTTCCAACCTAAATTATCCTATGATCCTGTAGCAAGTTTCATCTTTTCAGAACACTCACCTTGGAGATAAATACTTGATCCTAAAACAGCTACAAAAATGAATTTAAGTAGTGAAAAAAAAAAAATGCTATATTGGGTTTGTAACATAAAGGAAGAAAGTTATTGCTGAAAGTACCCAAATTATGGATGGTTCTTTTTGGCTTCATTACATACCCATTTCCAAGCCTTTCTGGCAATACAGTGTTTAGCAGCAGTGAAAGTTTCAAGGTCTTGCCTTGACTCTCCCTTCAAATTCTCAAAATTATTTTGGCACTATAACATTATGTGCCTTGAACCAAGAACATGGAGGGAAGACAATTGGGCTGGGAGTAGTACTCAGAAAACAGAGCAACTTCTTAGAATGATAAAAAATATTTAACCAAATCTTCAAATGGAAGCCTGAAGTGAAGCTTGTGATGTATCCCACTAATTTGCTTCTGTTCTTCTTCCTAAAGTCTCAAATGCCACAGCATGGCAGTGTTACATGCTTTTTCTCCTGGAAATAAGCTTGTACTCTATGTGTATTAAACCCTACTGTCAGTCTGTATGTGCTGATGTGCTGCTCATTTGTGCCTGTGTTTTGCAGCTGTTCTGTCTTACAGAGGTTTGATAGTTCATTCGGCTCTCCCTGAAAGTAAGCGAACTAGAATGTCAGAGCAGGGTCCTTGAAGTATTGTTTGTTTGCTCTACTTGGTGACTCCTCAGAGTTGTGGGAGTTTTTGGTGTTTTGTGTGTTCTTTTTTTTAACCTGGATGGAGATTATTCAATCCCCTCTGGTGTAAGGGGTGTAACTTTCTGAAACAGAAACTCTGACTGAAGCAGAGTAACTCTAGTTGCCTGGACAGGTTCATGTACCCATTTTGAACGAATACTCCTAAATGATTAGAGGAGAGGTAAACCGGGAACGCTACTGTCCTCCTCCTTTGAAATTAGTTCCTTGGCTTTAAATACTTAATTTCTTCCTATCTGAGCAACATAGATATTTTTTTTTCTCTTGTATTTTGTATTGTTTACTCATCATGTCCCAAAGCCAAGTTAGTGGAGTGTTAAGGCACCCCTTCAACTGTCCTAGCAACGACATCAGCATTTTCTCCTTTCCCCTTTATTTAGTGATGATGGGATGATTAACTGTAAAATAGACCTTGGCTTAAAATACTTAATTTCTTCCTATCCGAGCAACATAGATATTTTTTTTTTCTCTTGTATTTTGTATTGTTGTTTACTCATCATGTCCCAAAGCCAAGTTAGTGGAGTGTTAAGGCACCCCTTCAACTGTCCTAGCAACGACATCAGCATTTTCTCCTTTCCCCTTTATTTAGTGATGATGGGATGATTAACTGTAAAATAGAGCTGTACCTCAAAATGGGCATTGTGTTGCATCTTATAACTTCCCCGATTGTTGTCTGTATCTCCATAGGTGCCTGATCTCAACCGGCTAACACAGCCCTGAATGGATGCATAGCCAGCCCTGTGAGACACTTCAGGACATACCTTCAACTTGCAGCTGAAAAAGGGAAGTTTCAATTCAAGAAGGCACCTGCAGTTTTTTATTGCCCTGCAAAAGTCAAGTGTATCACAAAGTGTGAATGCTACTCAGGTCCACCTCTTCCCCATGGGCAAGAGCCTATTTCTTTGTTTCAGAAGGCTTCTCTCTTCAGAAGACTCAGTGAGGTGGAAAAAGTTCTGAATTAGTCTAAAGCCAACTAGGCCACAAGAAGTAATCACAGAGATCTGGGGAACTGAAATAACTGAGGGCTTTTTTGGAGGGATGGGGGTATTTGCCCTGAAACAGAAATTCAAACATGCCATTTTCAACTTAAGCAAAAAATAAAACTGAGTGTGTATGTCTAACTTTTAAAATTTAATGCACATACACATTGAGTTCTCCATGTAGTAGTATATTCATAGATCTATCTCTGTGTGTCTACATACGTGTATGCATAGAGATCAGTACGTATAAATACAGACACACAAACTCATGTGATTTGTTACTGAAATCCAGCAGGAAAACTGAAGAGAAACATGAAGTTGCTTTTTCAATATCAGCTGCTTTGATGGTTTCAGATTTTTAATATTGTATTGACAAGGCACTCACCACTGGGTGGCATGTCTGACTTGGTGTGTGTTAGGAAGCAGGGTGGTGCCCAAGGAGCATGTCCTGCTATGACTTTCACAGAGAGTGTCCCGTGTGAGCTTTGTCCTGGCTGTAAGAATTGCAGATGGAGCGATCAGAAGGAAAAGAAATTAATATATCAAGCCCCTAGTAAATATCCTCTCAGAAAGGGTTCTTTCTCATACCCTTAACTCAGGTGAAGTATACAATGATCAGGGAGAACTTGCTGAACTTCAGCTTTGCAACTGGAGACACCTGGAGAGAGCTTTACTTGGATGCTAAGGAGAAACTCAGAAGTCACCATCTCTACGAGGAAATCATCAGAATTCATTCCAGGACTGGAATTTCATGTTTTGGCTGTGGGATTCCCATCCTTTCCTTCTGGATATGAAGATCTAGCAAAGGCCTGGTCTCAGAGCAGGCTGAGCTAGTAGAGAATTCTGCGGGATGTCCTGGCTTTGGCATGGCCTTCACCTTTGTGCCGTGCTACTGGAGTGTATGCATATATGCACACGTGTTGCCTTTCTTTTCTGTGCTGGCAGCTGTTGAATGTTGGTTTTTATGTTTAAGAAATATATATTGAAGTGCCAAATAAATGTTTAAGTGTCTGGAATTGTCTGCTGCCTGCCCTTGGCCTCTCTTCTGTTCTGTGCATCAGCAGCTGTGTGTCTCTTCTTTGTGTCCCTTGGAGTTCAGGAGGGTTCACAACAATGATAGGACTGTGTCAAAGACTAGATCACAGAGTAATTATTTCTGAAAATATGGTTCTGTGGCCCTAGGCCACCGGTAACAAAGAGGTCATCAGAGCAGTTTAGAAATTTCACAAACACATGAAGGTTGCTGTTGCCAACATCTATACATTAAGCACAGAAAAATTTGCACCTTGGTGGTCTGTTGTCCACATATTCCAAACCTAGAAAACAAGGAGAGCAACGCTTGCTATTAGAGAAAAGCTCAGTGCATCTACTTGTCTCACCAGTGAATGAAAGAAACTAGGCAGTGGTTTTGTGAAAAGGGCTGCACGTTTTAATTCCTTTGTGGCTAAAGTGCTCTGCTTCCTCCTGGAGCTGCTCCACTTAAGACAGCTGCACTTGCAGCATTTATCTATGTAAACCATTCATTCTTGTTTCAAGGAAAGCGTACAGCAGTAGATGATGTTTTGTTCAAATCCATCCTTTTTGTAGAAGAGCTTGCTTAGTCTTCTTGGATGGCCTAAGCTATAATAAGCTGAATAAGTTCTGTGCATAGGGAGTAATTTTTGGTTTGAAGTTATGGCTTGTCATTAGTCTTTCTAAGTCACGTTCCTCCTATACTGTCCTCCTGAATTGGCTTGCCACTGCAAGTTAAGCTTTTACTCTTCTGCTTCTCTATTAAGAAACCCATAAATGTACACATACATGCATCCCCTTATCATACAGATTTTTCTCTTTAAAAATGGAAAGTACTCACCAAGTTTCATAACACTCCATTGCTTGTTGGCTCACGTATGTGGTTTTAGTTTAAGCAAATAGGTCTCAGCACTGTTCTTCCTACCTTTCATGCCAAGGTTTGCAGCATGAGACGCCTCAGTTTTCTGATGTGATTGTGTTTAACCTAGGAGGTTGTTTCAAGGTACATTAGAAGCCTTTTACAAATATACAGACTTAAGATTACAGGAAGCATCTTAACAAAATTGGAACTGGTAGTAGCTCTGGCACTTGAATCTTCATAATTACTCTGTACAATGACAGAATAATGGCATGTGATTTCTCAATGGACTTTTCTGTAGCACAGCATACGGGCTGGTCTAGTTACTCTAACTTTATTTAACATGTTTGCATCCTTTTGCAATCAAAGGTTAGACTGAGGAGACTAGTTTGTGAGGTTTGAGCTGTTATCAGAGTTAAATCTTAACCAATGAGGTGGTGACTGCTTAGAGCATACCTCTGGCTTGCCTTATTCTCAAGATTTGCCAGTTGGCCTACAGGCATTTGCTATTCCTTTCTTACTCTGATAATACTGTGCAAACCTTGTGCATGCCCTTGTTACCTGGATAACTAGACGGTACTCTTACATAGGGGTGTATTTAATTCTTGAATGTGTAATGGGTTGTATTGGGTGGCTTGGTATCTTAAGGCAGCAATCTATCCTTCCTCCATGCTTTACTAGAAGCAGGACTCCTTTAGCTTTTGTGTTTTCATATAACTAAAGGGCAGATGCTATCACCTGTTGATTTGTTGTTTATGCCTTATGAAGCCTCAGAAGAAAAAGTGAGAGGTAGAACTTAAAGTTAGGCAGCAAAACACTGGCTTCTTCAGAGTTCAGTGAATCTTACCCAATCTGCCTTTCCTCCTTGTTGGATTAAATGGAGAATGGAACTGAAATGGCTTTTTCTCTAGCCATCTGCCTCTGCAGGCTCCTCTGGCACACAAGGAACTTGAATGAATTAGCAAAGAAATAGCTAATGTCTGCTTAAAGACATCTCTTTAAATTCTGCCAAAAATAGAAGCATCAGTCCCTCTTATTCTCTTGTTCATTAACACCCTTTAGCCCCTTGCATTTTGTAGACTGTATTGGCAAAAAGGAAAGAAAAAGACTGTGACCTCTATTTTTAGCTCTATTTTTAGCTCAACAGAAGTTGTTCAACCACACAGGCACCTTCTGGATGGAGTCCTCTAGCCTTCTTATTTAATAATTTCTGGTTTCATGTTCATGTAGCTCTTGGTGCCTACCGTACTTAAGAGTAGGGAAAAGAGGTGATAACTCAGAACCTATAGATCAGCATGAATTTCTTCAGCAGCTAGGAGATCAGGAGAGTAATGTGTAAATACTCTCTTTTTACGTGACTAGACTTTGTTGTCTACTTGCAGCTTTCCTAAACTAAAGCTAGGTAGTTACACTCGAAGTCTGCCTGAGAGCTGCTGGGTAAGTACAGTGTCAGTGCTAAGCAACATCAGCCAGATCTGTAAAATGCATGACTAGAAGCAACAGTTACGGTGTATGATTACATACGCTGTTTAACACAGCTGTGGACTTCCCTGTAAGAATTCCTGTAAGTCCAGCACCTAATCTTGACTTCAAAATTTCTTTTCAATGGAGTAACTTAATGATCCTTCCTGTTAAAATACGAGTCTTATTTCTATTTTGTTTGTCTATCTTTATTCCAGCCATTGAATTTTGGTATTTTTGTGTCTGCTAGGTTGAAGCGCCTAACAGTTTTACTCCCCATATAACTGCTTATGGATTGTGATTGAGGGTTTACTTGTTCAGCAGATGTCCTTGTTGATAAGCTGTAAGAGTTAAGTTTCCAAAGTTTTTCATTATGAAGTATATTTTTCTGGTTTAATTTTTATAGCTCTCATCTGGGCCCTGTCCAGTTACTTATTTTATTTTCAGTTATAGCATTTTAACTGGTAACAACTATTCCAGTAGTGGCCATGCCAATTAAAAACATAGAGTGTAAAATAACATCTTTCTCTTTGGTTACTTTCCTCATTATGCACTGAGGACCACAGTAGCCCCTTGGCCCCTGTGCTGTATTGAAAGCCCATCTTCAGGTAATTATCAGTGATCACTCACAAGTCTCATCAAACTGCTTTTTCCTGTGATAATCCTCCATACCATGTGAGGATGGGGAATGGAGATGAAATGGTTAACAATGCAGAAAAGTTTGTTAGACTCAATGATTTAATGTTTGCTAAGGACTCCAAGAAAAGAATATGAACATTCTAATGAGTGGCCCATGTTCTGGGCATTACGATAAAAGGTGTGCGTGGTTGGATTTGCCTTACTACATGTAAAGACCTTTAATCTCTGCTTGCATTTCCTGTTGCCCCTGACTTTGATCTCGTCTCTGCTTTGCAGGCTGGCAGCTGAAGAGGTAGAATCTCTAGAGGCAGATACAACCAACCGCTGGCAAGGAGTCTGTATTAGCAGAGCATCTCCCACACCGTCAGAATCTGCAGCCACTGTGAAGTCACTGATAAAATCATTTGACTTAGGATGCTCAGGTACTTGAACACTGTATTTTGTAGTAAAAATTTTTCTAGCAGCAAACAGGTAACTTTTGCCATTTTGTGGTGCTTCTTGCTTCTTAATGGATATTTTCTGTCAGTGCTTGGTGCATAAATACTATCTGTGGAATGTCACTACGCTAGTGGTTCCCTGTTCTGACAAAAGGGAGATAGTTGGGTTTGAAATGCAAATGTTTCCATGTTTTTTCCTTGCAGGTAGCACTGGACAAAACATCACGGTTCACAAGGTCCCCAGGAGCCCTCTAAGTGGAATTCCAGTGAGGACAGCCCCAGCAGCTGCTGTTTCCCCCATGCAGGTACAGGGAGCTCTTTCCATCCTTGTAGTTTTAAAATGGGTAGGTGCAGTGTTTGCTACAGCATGACATAGCTTTAGCATGCCAACGTGCATATGTTGATAAGGGGAAGGGGAAACTCATCTGTTTATTTGCTATGAAACTTCAAATGCTGTAGTACTAACAAAAAGGATCAAAGTGAGTTTGTCTTTGACTTCAGTTTAGAGGTCTCAGTGGACGGATGTGAACTCTTTGGAATACAATTCTGAACTTTAATCACTGTTCACCAGAAGATAGGTTTCAATTATTGGGAGTTAGTTACAAGAAACATCAAACTAAATTAGGTAGCTGGCATGTCAGTTGAGAGACATGAGATAGTAAGTTTCTAAGTTGTATGCTCCCAGTTATCCAGTAAGTTCATGCAGCGCTGAATGAAAAGCTCTTACAGTTTGGTTTTTTTCCTACTGAAGCATAACTGCTCTGGAATGTAGTACTACTTCTGTCACTGCACCAGTTAGTTAACTTTCTGTTAGCACTCTTCAAATCTGTGGTGCAATGCTATTGGAAATACTGCTTCTGTGAACGGTGGAGAAGCAAATGCACTGTGCTTCCTGATTTCCATATAAGCTGAAGGCGGCATACAATCAGACTGCTAACTTTTGTAGGCTAGAGAAGCCATTGTCTGTTTTTGACTGGGTGGTCACTGGACTTACAACAGGATATCCCCTTCTGAATCTGGGTAAAAAACAGTTGCGAGGCTAGGGTGTTCAGGTGAGTGTTCTGAAGAATCAAATGACTTGGAAAGACTACTTAACAAATGTGTGAGCACATTTCCTTCAAAGAATCAGCAAAGGAAGTTTAAAGAATGGCATTAAACAGAGGTCTGGGAACCTTCTATTAATGCCTGACTGAGGGAGTATTAATGCTGAAACTGGCAGTAGGGCTGCGGAGACAAGAATCCTTCTGACTGACAATTTGGGGTGCTGGGGACAGAGGCAGGGTTAGGAACAGGCATTCTTACTTTGGGTTTGTGACACTAGATTATATTTGGCAAGAAAAAAATGGTGCAAATAGAAGCGTGAAATAGTTCAGGAACTAATATATTACCAGCTAAAAATGGTGTCCCTTTGTCCTTTTATTTTTCACAACCTTATATCTGGATCTACGTACAGCTGATACCTAGTTGAAAGGTTTCTGCTTTATCATCTTGAGAAAGCAGAAACATCTCTTCTTTCTGTATGCCTTTTTAAGCATGATGGCTAGTATTTTTTTTTGTTATCTTTTGTACATTTGTTTGTTTCACAGAGACATTCTGTTTATAATAATACCAAGCCAACCAGCAAGGGCGTTGCCAGACACACGGATCTTTCAGACCTTCCTCTTGCAGGTAAGTTGCAGTAAACATACAAATGTTGCCTCTTTTTAGTAGCAAAAGCTTGTCATTAACTGTTGGCTTTTGCCTGGGCCATTTTTCCTCTTCTCATATGGTCAAAAGAAACATGAAAAAGTGTCTTCAGAGTCTTTGTTTTAGAGAGCTTATTAATTTTTTCATGTTTCCATTCCCATCTTGATCATAGCCTTGGAAAACTGAAAAATAGCTGATTTATTATGGTTTGCCAACACAAACTTGCCTTCTTTATTCCGAAGTATCCGTGGCACCTCTCTAATCCATGCTGTGGAACTGGAGAGGATTGGATTTTCTTCAATATGTATGTATCTGGAACAAGTCCAAAGCACTGTCTTTTGAGGGTTTATTTGTTTTTAAATTGAGCTTCATTTGAAATACATCAAACATTTCAGATACCAATGTGACTGTTTTAGGAGCAGTCATATTTGGGCTCAAAATAGTTTGTTTTGAGAGTTCTCGAGAGATGCGCTTGTTTTTATTTCACACTTTGCTTTTGTTCTCTTGTCATTTAATATTCTTTTCTACCAGTGTTTGTTTCCCATTTTCTCTAGAGCCCTTTATTTTGATTGTCTAGTCCCGAATGTAGTTGTTACATTGGACTCAAAGCTGGTAACAACAGATTATTGAATTAATAAAGGACAGATGAAATATTATGTTCCTTCAGTGAAATTGCAGGGAGGGACAAAAAAAATCAGTCACAACTTCTTTATCAGTAGACTGGATTTTCTGCAGTAGTGTGCTAGTACAGGAGAGAAATTAGAACCTGTCTTCGTTTTTAGACTCTTCACATAAGCTGCTAAGCTTCCCCTTCCATCATTCAAAGATGAAGAGATACTGGATCTGAACAGCAAAACAGGTTATAGAGTAGATGGCAGCATAAACAAATAAAAGCTTGTCTACGCTGCTGGCTTCTCCTGCAGAATTAAATGCTAAGCAAGCAGAAGTTATCAGTGGAACAGAGTTTACTTATTTGTATCAGTTGGTTTCCAGACAGTGTCTCGCATGACAGTATACAATGATCCTAAACAGAACACGAGACCTTTTTAATCTCTGCCAGTTTACTGTAGAGTGAAGTCTTCTGTTAACTGTGTAATATAATGCCAGTTCTTAATAATAAATATCCCACTTCAGGCAATGGATAATTACTGTTATTACCCATAGACAATTGTTCTGAGAAAATCTGTTGAAATCAACAGGTATTTTATTAGCCATTGTATGGTAAAAATTTATGGTTGCTTATCTAACAAGTTCCTGTATTTACAGCTTCTCTTTGTACCTTGGTTTAATTTAGTTCCAATAATCCATAGCAAAGGTTTACTCACTTTAAAGTTGTAATAGCTCTGGTTCCAATCTAAATAATCCCAGAAGGCAGTTGATCCAAGCCCTGTGCAAACAACACTGAATTAAAAAATATCCCCAAGGAAATTCAGAGTGAAGTAGTCTCCATAATAATAATAATCTTCTGGCTGATTCTATCTGACCAGTATCACAGCAGGGTTCTGTGATGTCCTTAATATGACCCAAATGTTACATCGGTGGAGAGGAGAATGTATTTCTTCACAGAAAGCATTGATCTTTGGCTATGATCTTTTCATTTAGAACCAGAGATTTACTGGTTCTGTCCTGGAATTTCTAGCAGCCAAAAATGCATCAGAGGAAGTATATTACTCATGCAAGTGAGACTGAAAGTACAAAACTGAATACTATTAACTTCCACTGCTTCAGACACTACAGTATAATTCAAACTAGTAACCATAAAGTTTCTTTAAATAGTGCAAATAGATAGTGCTAACAGAATGTGATTTTCCTTAATCATGTTGCATATTTTTCATACGATTATTATCCTGTTTCTCTTTCCAAATGATTCTTAATACGCCCTCATCCTCTCCCTCTTTTCGTTCCAGCTAGATGCTTACGATAGCCTTTATACCTATCTGGGTTCCTTCCTTTTCCTTTCCCTTTCTTTTTCTGTACTATCCATGAACGCATCCTGGCACAGCACTTCCTAATTAGACCATGTCATTAGCGAGTCCAATTATGATAATGACAATTTAGCAGTGCTTTTTTTTTTTTGCTATCCTTATAAAATAGTAAGAAACCTGCATTCCTCTTCATAATACTCAGATTTTGTTTATTGGTGTGCCTTTTGCAGTAGATGTTTCTCTAAGCAGAATATTCTTAAGTTTAAAACAGTCCCAAGAATCATTCATTGATTGCCTGTCTGGTTGGTGTGGCTCTTTAAATTTGAGGCAATTCTCCATAAATCCAATGTAATGAGGAGCTAGAAGTGTCATACACGTTTGGAATATATAGTGGAAAACCAACAAAAAGACCTTTTAAAAGTATGCTGTGTGCTATTTCTTGTTTGTTAGGGGTTCATGGTGCACTCAAAGAAGGGATAGGTGAGTGGAAGGAAGGATGACCCTGACTCTGAAGGTCTGTGCAATTCAATGCAACAAAGCTCTGCCAACAGCCAAGCTACTGGGAATGAGACAATCTTCTGGGACTAGATTCTGTCCTTTTCCATCTGGACTTTAATAGATAGGAACTTAGCAGCCCTTTATGCTGTGGAAAGAAGGTGCAGAAATGCGTATAGCTCTCAGCAGCTGCAAATGTAGTCTTACAAAATTCAGGAGCCGGCAAGGGCAGCCCCATGCTTGTTGGAAGGATATGTTCATCTGGCAACTGCTGATACACACACCCCAGTTACTTCTGAAAAGAAATTTAGGACTGATTCGGTGATACTAGCCTTTGCTGCAGCTGAGATAAGAAGGAATTCATGCCTCCAGGTGATATGGCATTAATTGATAAGTAACATAGGGAGATAACTTAAAAGGAGGAGAAAAAGTTGTGTTCCACATTCATTTAATTTTTGATAACAGCTCAATATGCTGGCCATAGATCCTGCCTTGTTGACAGTTTGTCTACAGAAACGAAGCAGCCAACTTTCCCTGTGTTATACATTGCTCTACCTCATGATTGATATGCCCAGGGATATAATTTGATTTCTATGATCTCTTTGGCTTCTCTTCAAAAACCTATGAACATTGGACTCTATGGCTACTGATTTTGTTGATTTTATTTATTTTACCTATATACACCTATATAAATATATATCATAAAAATATTATATAAAATATGTAATATGTGTAATAAAAATATAGATACATCTGCTATGAATATATTGACACTTCCCAAAGTTCTGTCAGATAGGATACCAAGAATCATGTGATAATAAGTGCCATTTACTGCTGCCTTGAGCTGGGCTGTATTCAGGAGACAAGAGGCTTTCTTGTTACAAATCTGCTAATGGCAGAAAAGAAATTATTATACTCGGGCTGGTCAGTCAGCTGGTGAAGATGTCTGGCAATCAGCTTTTGAACCTTTAAGACTGTAGATTTTGGTATTTCCCCTCATTCACCTGGGGCCCCTACCCCCCAGCAGGAGTATCAATCACAGGAAACCAGGCAGTCTGTACTGTTGAAATCATCAAAGCCATTCCTTGTTATGATCACCTCTAATCTGCTCAAGGTTTCCTAGCCCCATGTGTGTTTAATGAACAAATGAGTACATTTGTTTAGAATCAAAACAACAGACTACATATTGTGTGCTGGGTGGCAGGACAGTGATTAATCAAGTTCCTCAGACTGCAAACTGACAGCTTTTTTTTTTTTTTTTTAATTCCCACAGACCTTCTGAAGGGGAGAAATGAAGAGCTGAAACCAGACCATTACCTCCGTAAAAGCCCCTCCCTGGAATCCCTGAGCAAACCCCCTATGGCCTTTAGCAGCAGAATGCTTACCTCCAACCCCAGCAGCTTGAAACCCCAAAGCAAACTCAGGTACCAACTCAATTTCCTGGGAGAAACAGCACACTGGAAAGATTGACAGCATTACCTGGCACTAAAATGAATGTTTTAATCTGGTGGGCCCCTGTCTCCAGTGAAAATTCTGCTGGCTAGTCTATCTGGTTCAGAATTACCAGGTTCTGTCAGATTCAGTTATCAAAATTCAGATTATGATAACTACAATTATCTGTAAAATGAGCAATCATGACAAAATAAGAATAGCAAGCTTTCAGGAGCCACTGAGTTGTACACGTGACAGAATTCTTGTATATAAGTGGTCAACTCTCGTTATCTTACTGTAGGCTTGCATGTTACAGTGAGTTAAAAACTAAAAGCTTTCAGGTCTAAGGGAAAGCTGGACTCATAATTTTCTTCTGTCTTGAGAAAAAGCATATATTTTCCTCTGATCTCCACCATTATTTCCAACAGTAGAAGCTGTAGGCAGGAGACAATGCGGGTGTTTTGATTTTTGGCCTTTAACTGTCCGTGAGGCCTTGACTGCAATACAGCTTCCAGATTTTTCATTTTATTCAAGAACTGGTTCTGCAGCAGCTCAATTGGATGTGAATTTCGTGTTACAGATTCTTTAGATAGTTTCTTTCAGTTCTACACCCTAAATCCTAGTTTTCAATGTGTAAAGCAAAGAAGTTACTTGAAAATTTTATAAGTAAAGCTGATGAAAATAATAGCAGAAATGCTGGGTTAACGCATGCTGTCAGATATCCGTAGGCTGCTGTTTTTTCAGCTCTTTGTATGCAGTGATACCAACTGAATTTGTCTCATCTAAGGGCGAATATAGAATGCAAGCTCTGAAAGGTATTGTAGGTTGGTTCATCTGTGCTGCCATTCTGCTTTGTCATAAAGATATTATTTACACACTAGTAAAAAATAAGAGACTTCAAGAATATTTATCTTCTCCTCCCTTATGCTTCCCTGCATTAGTGTGGAGAGAAAGGACCCACTGGCAGCCCTGGCTCGGGAGTATGGTGGTTCAAAGAGGAATGCTCTGTTGAAATGGTGCCAAAAGAAGACTGAAGGTTACCCGGTAAGGGAATAGGTACATTTTTCCTTTTCTCTAGAGAGTAATTCATCACTCTCCTATAGGTATGCAGTAAGCAATGTCACTTAAATATCTGTATTTCAATCTGCTGATTTTTGCATGTTTACTGCTTCTGGGTGTTTCCATCCTCTTCCTTCAGATTTCTTTAACACTGCAGTCCCTAATACAACACTGTCATAAGTAATTTGTATACAAAACCCAAAATATTTACTGCATCAAAAGTCGCTGATGGTGAGAAACAGAGTGTATATGTGCAGCAGCTTCAATTTGGCATCATTTTTGAAATTACACTCTAATGTTTTTTTCTTCTGTAGTCGACTGTGGGCGATGTGCTATTGTGAGAGTTATTTTCCTTGGTCATTTCTGTAAAAACAAAGAAATATTTCTTTGTGTGGCCTTGCCCAAATGAAGTTTGCAGCTTGGGGCCCCACTCTTTCTAATCTGCTGCAGTTTAATGGGATTTTACAAAGCAAATTTTGACTGCTTGAGAATGTCTTATTTCTTTGCAGAGTGATTTTCACTGTTCAACAGGCATAATGATTTGTCCATTTCTTGTGTGGCCATTGCTGTGCTTATCAAGCTCTGGCTAGTGTTTGTATGTAGTTGATTTAGGCCTTTGGTTCTGCTTGTAGCTGAGCTGTAGAAGGCAATTATAGACAAGAGTTCAGCCTGTGATATATGCTGGGTGTGCAGGATAGTCTTGGTTTGATATAATGTTGAGATTTTTCTTTCTTAAGAATAATATTGTTTGTTACTTAGAGCAGAAGACAAAAGCAGTTATCACCACATGATATGCACCCTGGAGCAAGTCTTTAATAAAAGCAGAGTCCAGCTTTTAAAGTAAATAATAAAATATTTTTTTTTTCTTAACAACCAGCTCTTTATGAAACATTAGCTGCCAGGTGCAGGAGTTTGGAAGAAAAGACAGTAGCTTTCCCTTTAAGTAAACTTATCTGTAAAGGTTTCAGTTGTTTCTTAGCACTGGCGTATTCATCTGGCTTGCACCAATTTCACAGGACAGGTATCAGAGAAGCTCTTGACTTTAGACACACCTTAGAAAGAATAAAATCAGGGCTAGTGTTCAACCTCCAGTTCTGTGATACTGCCTAAAAGGCCACAGTGCTATCCCCTGAAGTTGTATGCTTTATGCTGTGTTGATTTATTTTATACCACATCAACTAAAATTGTCCTAGTCTTGGATTTGAAGGTGTGTGGGAACGTTCCCATCCAGTCCTCAGAAAATGATTAATGAAATACAACTTTTCCAAGTCTAACTTCTGTTAAGTCAGCAAACCCATCTATTGAGTAACACTTTCTCCTGACAGTGTTGCCCTTTTTTGTTTCAAATGGCACATATGGTGAGCTGCTTCCACTTCTCTTAAAACAATCTAACTTCCCAGAGTTTGCTGTTAGAAGTGTTCTGGAAGAGTCAGCCTGTAGTTTTCTTTCTCTGATTACACCCAAGTTGGACTAAGTGTATTGCTTTTAGAAATTATGATGTGGCTTTGCAAATAGAGCCCTGATTCTGTAGGTACCAGACTGGCACCAAGAGTGACAAGTATTCCCTCTGTGATAGAAGAGAAAAGGAGTTTTGTTTTTCTATGCTGAACCCAAATAGTGGCGCTAACTGTGTATCAGATAGCAGGCCACCCAGGAGGTATGCAAGGCAATCCGGGTCTATTTGTTTTTCCTTTTAGTATTAGTCTCTGGAGGAAAGTATGTCCATGTTTCAGAGGACAGTGGAAGTCTTTGCTTTATATATGGCTGCTGGAGTGTTGTTGCTACGTGACTGTCCAGATGATGTTTCAGAAGAAGCTTTGTTGTTTTCATTCCTGCGCTGATGAGGCTCTTGTTCTGTTCATGGCTGTCCTCTGTTGTTACTCTTTCTAAAGCAGCCAAATGAGTTTTCAGCAGTTTTTGAAAACAAGCAGGTAAAGCACTGACACTGTGTAATCCAAGAGAGTCTGAGAAGTTCAAGCTGATGTGATGGGGGCCTTATTACCCAGACTGTAAGATCTCAGGGCAGAAATTAAAGTCAGATGAACTAAAGGACAAACATGGTATTGATTTATGGTGAGAGCCTTGCTTCTCTATCTTCACTGCTTCATTTAGAGGTATTATCTCTTGGACATTCTTCCTCAGATTCTCATTCCCATTGCACTCTCTGCGGTACATTCACTAACTCTTCTTGAACTTGCTTTTCCCAGACCCTTGCACTCTTAGAATAAGGCTGATATTAAGCTCCACAGGGAGTTTTTGTCATTCTTGAGTACAAAGAGCTGGAGTACAGTAAAGAACGTCATCCTCCTTCCTGCCTTAGTCACTGCAATGGTGGGACTGAGGTAATGAACTCCACTGAGCAGAACCCTGATGACGTGCATGACTTCTTTTCCATAGATAATACCCCTGTCCATGAGGCATCATCTGTGCAAATCCCAGTGTAATCTGTCGTGTTCTTTCTAACATGAAGCCCAGAACTACAGATAACTTTGGATGCAAACTGTTTTCAGCTCTGTGACACAGAGAGTGAGAGAATAAAAGACTTGCTGCTTGACTGCCTGACTTCTTTTTTCAGTGGCAAAATGTACTGCCTTTGAGATCTAGTAACAGTTCCTGATCTGTACTGGTGAGGAAGAGGAAGATTACTTTCTATTTAAATTATGAAGATACCAGATTTCATTAAACAGTATGAGCAAAATGGATTAGAATAACTGATACTCTCAGTAGCAGCCACTACCCATGTCCCAGATTCCCTGAGGAAAGCTGGATTAGTGAGCTAGGAAGGTATCTGGGGTTAAGACTTTGGGACCAGCACACAAGGCTCCACTTTTTAAATGCTTTAATCCATACAAGGCTTATACTATAGATAGAAATTTACATCCTGCTCCTGGCATATACCCTTGCGTTGACTACAGTGGGAACATTCCCTGGCTTTGAACTTCAGTGTGTTCCCCAGGAGGCAATCTCATAAACCAAGACAGGGACACTGGAGGGACTTGAGAGAAGTGCAACACAAATTAGTAGTGGCTTGGAGGATTTTGTTTGTTTTTTATAAAAAGAAATTGCATGAGTTTACAGCAACTGAGGGGAAACATGAAAGCATCTATGTTTCTGCAATCTGCTATGTCATTTTTAAGATCCTTATTTAAACAGTAATTTGATATTAAAAAGATGTGAACTCTAAGCAGAAAGAGTAATTATTTAGAACATGAAAACATAATTGCTAGAATGAAAATAAAGTGGAAGTTCAGTTTAATGACTACGAGAAAAGACTATGAAAGTGGGATTGCATAAACTGTGGCATGATCAATCATATGATTTCAGCTGTCATGTTTCAATGTCTAGATGAATGTTATATGGGATTTTGGGCACTGATTTTTGAATAACTATGCAGGGGAGGTGTGGAAAAAATCTCGGGAGTAAAAAAAATTGTAGTGAAATAAGGCGTTGGGCTCAGTGGCTTTCTGCATAACTCTTCCTTGAAAATATCCAGCATAAAAAAACAACTTTAATCAAATGTATGGTTCCCTATAAGAATTGTGCACTGGCACATGATCTCTTTTGCCAGACATACATAGACTGTTCCTTCTGCCTCTCTGAATTTGTTGACATCATGGTGTATAAAGTAGGGTGATGAAATGACCAGACTTGAGAACTGCTTTTGTGGCTCTGGAACTCAATTACCACAAGTCCTTTAAACCACAAAGCCTGCTGAGAGTAAGTTATTTATGTTAAAATAGCTTTTTCTCTGTTGTCTTGTGGTTGGTTGTTTTTTCATCTATTTAAAAAGATTATACATCGTAGCAACAGTGTGAAGTAGAGATTAGGTGCCTCTTTTCTAATAGGCTCTGTTCTTATGAGTCCTAACTCCTAGAAGCTGCTGAGAGTCATTCTTGTTGCATTATCACCTTCCACAATCATATCATTAGTGACTGTGGTGTTATTTAAGTGCCCTGGTTCTGTTTGTTCTCTGTGGAGACCATTTGTCAAGGGGCCAGACCGCTCCAGATTGTCTATTACTATCCACAGATGTATTGTGAAAACACAGAACATCAAGAGGCACTTAACCCATGATCATTAGAACTGAGGATTATTGTTTCTGCGACATGTACCCTCTCCCGGGAGGGGAGGGAATTGCTACCATGTTAATGAATATGGTTCACTTAAAAGCCAACCATTACACATCCATCCTATAGCACAGAGGAAAAGAGAATCTGAGACTGACTCTTTTCTCCAATGCACAATCATGGTTATTCTTTTCAAAGTTATATTTAGTTTAACAGAACCTATTTGGGATCCACTTGTTGAAGAACCACCATCTCTTACAGTAAAACTCTGTGGTTGTCTTAAGTAGAGGAATGCTAAATAGGAGGAGATGAGGAATGTTCTAGAACTGACAAAGGGAAATGGCAGCTCTGAAGATTTTTATATTTCATCTTTTCCCAACCTGTCCATTCAAGCCATTGCATTATATCATCTCCCTGACTGTGTGTCAGGGACACCAGCTTATGGATAAAGGCAGTGGGCATCTTCAGGAGAAGAGGCAGTGCTCCCTGTTAGCACTGAAACCAATATGAGATGGCTGATAAATTGGTATTGATCTTATTGGTATTTGTGGGACCAGCCTCAGATCCGATTTCATACCACCTGGAGGAATCTAAACAGCATGGAGAAGCTAGTAACCAGAGCAATCTTTACATAGCTTTCATGTTATACAAGTAGTTCCTGGAGAAAAGAATTCCTTTTAATTATTCTACATAAAATATGCTAGCAACTACAAATAAAGCTGGAAGAAAATGATTTATTTCTTTCCATGCCTTATTTGGAGTTATTTGACTTTGCAGTAGGTCCCAGGATCACTGTGCAGTTTTAGAAAGTATGCTTAGGAGTATGTAGGAACTATTTTTAGGGCAATGCTCTCTGATATTGTATTGTTTAGTCTAAATTAGCAAAATACTAATTTCTGTATGCCCAACCATTCTGAA